CAGCATATTGGAATGACAATACATATATGAAATAAAGAGAACAATTTAAAATCGTATGTGATTAGATGTTAGATGGGCAGGGAAGAGCTACTTCAGGTTTGAAGAGGCAGAAATCACTGTGGGTCTGACAGATCTAAGAGGGCTCCATAGCAGTAGGGCTAAATGGGTTGGCTAAAATATAATGTTGATGGTGATGATGCTGATGCTGATGCTGAATACAGCCAAATTTATTGAACTCTTAGAATGTAGCAAATATTGATATGATGCTTTATATGCATCACATTTAATCCTCATATCAACCTTCTAATGTAGGCACCATTATTGTCCATTTAACAGATGAGGAAACTGAAGTCCAAACATTTTATGGAGGACCCTGGCCAGTCCATGGTAAGGCATTCTCGGAGTTGGGTGGCAGGGACTAAGCAGAAAGGAAAGAGTAGAGAAGGTTCTTCAATCCCTCTAGAAGCAGCATTACGTGGGTGCCAGGTGGAAGCATCTTTGTAGAATTATGTCTACATTTTCAGATTAAACTCTCTCTTTTAAAAACGACTTGAGGCCTCTTGACTATACATCCCTAAGGTTATAATGTTCCTTCCAGATCTGAACAAATACTATGAAGTCATCTCAGATCTTATTTCTCTATGTTATATTTGACCATACTGACAACCCATTTTGGCTTCCATGGTAGTGGGGAAGCCCACTCCTGTGTTAAGGGAGAGGGGATTTGAGAAGCCTTGAGGTTCTGTGATTCTATGTATGTGCCTTTCTTTCTTCTATCTCCTGGGGCACCTTTTGTCTGTTAACTTCTTTGCTTCTTATTTCTCCAGTTTGTTAATTATCAGCATCTCCCAAGACTAAGTCCTAGACCAGCTTCTGTTCACTCATTCATTAATTCAAAATTTATTTGTTAATCACCTATTATTTGAAATGTAATATTTCTAAAAATTATCTTTGATCTAAAGGAGTTTGGTGATTCTGTCTACAGTCCTGGTCATTTCAGGGAGCACCTGTATATGGATGACTTACACAATGACATCCCCAACATGGATCTTACATCTTCTCCCCAGGTGTTTTCAGGACATATTTTGAAACATAATATTCTGGCAGCAGAATGCATCAGGTTTTCCCTAGATCACTTAAGTCCTCATTTCCCCATTTTTATGAATATCATCCGTCTTCCTGGGCCTCTAGTCAGTCATCCTTTACGGGCAGGGGTGGTATCTTCTTTTTGCTTTGCCTCCTCAAATAGTATGGCACATGGTGTATGGCTCATGGCAGACATTCAAACAAGGTTGTCTGACTAAATTATTTAAATGACTAACTGAAGCCTGAGCTGTGAGAAGGCAGCTCAGTGCAGCTCTGCATCTAGCCTTAGATGGTTGAGTGGCGTTTGATGGATGGAGCAAGAATAGTAAGCAGATAAAATTCCAGGGTCTCAGTTCAGCAGTCCTTTATAAGCGTGGCTTTGGGCCGTTTTATTTACGTATTCTTCAGCCTTCTTTTGGTGGCAAGTATCAGAAAACTCAACTCAAACTATCTTAGCAAGAAAGAGAAAGGGGATATATTGATTCCATCACTGTGAAGTCCAAAGACCGATTCAGCATGATCTTATGGCACGTTGGGTTCGGGGACTCAAATGATGATCTCGTGGCTGTCTCTCTCTTTCCATGTCTTGGCTCTTTTTTCCTCTGTGTGTTGGTTCCATTCTCGGTCAAGCTCTTGTCACATGACAGGAAAAATGGCCACCCATAGCCACAAACTACATTCTTACACTGGTGTTTTAAAGGAAAGCAACTCCCCTCTTCCTTAACATTCACATATCAAATCTCAGAGAAGACTCTGATTGGCCCTGTTTGGGTCATGTGCCCACCCCAAACCAATCACTGTAGTTTTAGAAATGGACTACTCTAATTGGCCAGCTCAGGCCACACACCTGCACTTGGGTGGGGGTGATGGGGCACCAGGATTGACACCCCTCCAGGGCCACAGGGAGAGGGGGAGTAGTGGTTCTCCAAAGAAAGGAATGCTGAGGAGAACAACAGACATCCACTACCCTCCTCCCTTCCCTAACCCCACCTGGCCCAGCATTTTAACCAGAGAATTTACTATCTCTTCACCCTCCAGAGATTTATTGTGTTAGGAGATTAAAGAGAAGATGCTGGGCTTTCCCTAGAGATGGTGGCATTTCTGTGGGAGCTAATCTATTATTAATAAATTAGACATGTTGCCTGTTGTTTTATAAAATTCTCATTGGGGAGAATTGTGCTCACAATGGTTCTTCTCAAATACTTCAGCCTTGAATATGTATGCATATATATATGTGTGTGTGTGTGAATTTTTTTAAACTTTAAACCACACTACCCCCTAAATCACTACCATGTAACTTCTCCTCCCACCCTAGGGAAGAGAGTGGGAGGCTCATGTCTCCTGGTCTCTCCTGGTAGGTGTTTGACTGAGCAAAGGAAGAGCAGGAGGAAGAAACCATCATAAACAGGTCTCTGTAATTTGCAGAATATATGACAGCTAGTCTCAACTTCTTGTTTGATTTTAGGATACCATCCTGCCCTTCACCTAAGAATTCACTACAGCATTTTTTTTTTTTTACTTAGAAAATCAAAAAAAACCCTGTTTTTGAAAAATTTGTGATAACTCCAGCCATGTCCAAATTAGGCCCTGGAGAGGACTTGCTCTAACCACACACACTAATTATTAGTCCCCACACATAGATCCGTTTAGGATCCGTTAAGTCCTAGATGAAGATGCATAATGTAACATTGCCCCTGTTCAGTGTTTTCTTCCATATAAACATCCAGACCTCGGTCTCATGGGGGAAACATCACAAGACAGTTTCATAGGACTCAGCTTTGATCTTTATGATGTAGTAAAGGTGTAGTTAGCCTTTCTGGGGCTGAGAGGCATGTTCTTCCACAAGACTATCAAATTACGACTCATTTTCCATTGCATATTCTTCCAGGACTTTACTTTCTTTTTATTTGCTAACTTCAATGGTTTGAGGGAGAGAGCTGATGTGAAGGTGAAAATGATCAGCCAATATCATTGGGACTTGATCTGTCTTTCCTTCCATAAGACCAGTTCTCTTACCCAGAAAGATTTCACTGCATCAGGAAAATGAGAAGAAAACCTCGCTGTACTCACATTGGAGAGACATGCTCGTTCAGCTTTGCTCCTTTGCTCCCATCTGTCTAAAGTCTTGTTGTTTCTTTCACTCTGAGCGTCTGCACTCCAAGAAGGCATGAACTTTTTCTTTCACTTCCTCTCTTCTATGAGTGATGACCTGACATCATTCTGAGGAGGCTGAAGGTCACTGAATATAAACACTGTCACCTCTATCTGGCTTAGGCAGAAAGAAAGAGGTGGGCTGAGCACGCAGGGGGTCTGAAAGTAGGAGATGCCACCCATGGTGCCAAGGTCTCAGGTGCAATGTGTGTGCTCTAGGGCTTTGTGTCTCTGTGCCTTTCCATACTGGAGGGCACCGTGGGGACACATTTCCTCTGGAGTCACCCCTAACCACCTACCTCTCTAGGAGGATGGAAGGTGGGAGCAGAGTTGGCAACGGAAGTTGTAACGGGGAAGAAGGCCATTTCGGGTGGGGTGAGGGCTGGGTCTGCTCACTGGAGTGTCTGTGAGCAGAAAGGAGAAGCCTGCTGGAGTGGGGCAAAAAGCCCAGGGGTCAAACTGTGCGGGCCATAGAGAACGTGCTGGGCTCAGCCTGCAGCCCCAGAGGAGGCCAGGCCTCTTGCAGTGACCGACCCCAGGCCTTAAGGGCACCCGCGGTGCCAGGTGGGCTAGCGGGTGGGGGTAGAGGCCCCCGAATGCCTTAATTCTCTGCCCATCCTTCTCCACAGAAAAGTAAAACAGGCTTGCGAGACCATTTCCTCAGTCACTCGGTCGTGAAGTGTCCAAGGATGAAAATGTGCTGAAATCCTCTTGCTCTCCGTTTGGGAAAAAGCGCTAAGGATTGAGGAAGATGGTTCAACACAGGCTACGTATGCTTCAGGGGGCTTTTGACTTGTGCCCCCGCCGCCCCCTCATTTCTCTCCCGGAGCCGCGGCTTCTGTCTCGGGGTGGAAGCCGGGCGGCTGTGCGCGGGGGATGCTCTTACATAACCGCTCGCCGCGTCCTGCTCTCTCGCGCGCTCCTGCCCCGCGGGGTGGGCGAGCCGCGGGACGCGATGGAGCCCGGGCTGGCGCTGCGGGGCCGGGGCCGCCCGTGCGGGGAGAGGAGCGCGGGGAGCCGCGGGAGGAGGGCGCGAAAGGCGGCGGGGGAGGTGAAGGTCAGTGGGTGTGAAGGGCCGGATCCACACCCCCTCCTCCCCTGTCCCCTCCTTCCCTTCCTCTCCGTCCCCCTCTGACGTCTGGAGCTGGCAGCTCGGCAGGTTCCGCATTCCCGACCCCTCCCCGCCGCCCAGGGGCCGCTATATAGCCGGGGCTGATGCA